GAGCTTTGTCAATAGGTCTGAAGAGGAAAATCTTGTAGTATCATTTAGAGGATTTCAAATGGTACAGTAAATATATCCACAGATGTCAGCTCTGGGCTTTGGGGAATGAAAGGTGAAACATTTCTCACACTTAATGTAATGTCCTGGGCTAGGATGCGGTTTAATGTACTAGCAGGGCAGAGCATGTGTGGTGAAACTGAACACAGACATGGGTGTTCAGACGTGGAGTGAAATTCCTCTGATTATCAGCTGAGTGGTGTAAAATGTCATTATCATTAGAGGAGCCAAGCTGCTGGCTGAACTCCAACAGGAGCTGAAGTTGCTTTCCAAGCTGCCAGGAGCATTTTAAACAATCTTTACCCACGCTGCTGTGCAGGCCAGGCCCAGGTCTTTGACTGGTTTTTATTTCCTGGGGATGGCTTTTCCCTGGACTTTCTCTAAATGCCTCCATGCAGTATTCTCCGTAGGTGATGGTTTTTACCACTGTAGAATGCACATTTATAGCAGCATACAGTAGGTGCATGTCAGTTCGTGCCTTGATGTTTACGAAAAGAAAACTCGTAATCATGAGGGGGAAAAAAAAGAAGAGAAAAATGCATAGAATTCTTCCCCAGGCAAAGAGTACAGGACCTTCTCACTCAAACCCTGCTCAGCTACATATTCAGCCATGTTAAAACATGCCACATGGGTTTGCATTATTTCATGTAATTATAAAAGTGCTCCATGTCACAAATGAATTGCCATGTTCAGGCAATGAGGTCTAACTGCACTAAGCATTATTATTGTTTTTAGTGAGACTGTAGTCATGAGAAAATCTTTAATGTAAATGGACTGTATTTATATAGTGCATTTTCCACAGTGTGTTGCACTGGCCAAAGCACTTTACAGGAGATCATACACACCGATGAAAACAAGGCTGCCACACAACGGCGCTAGTCAAGCCACCAGGAGCAATTCAGGGTTCAGTGTCTTGCTCAGGGACACTTAGGCATGTGGGGAGACCAGGAGTCAAACCACCAACTTGCTGGTCAGAAGATGACTGCCCTACCTCATGAGCCACAGCCACCCCAGGATTCCCATCAGAAAACCAGGAGAAACAGACCTTAGGTGCCCTGGAGGACTACAGAAATAAAGTCAGTAACACCAGTGACTGACACAGTGTGCAGTAACTATATCAAGCACTACTGAAGTAGTTCTCCCACAATAATGGTAATCGTGCTAGAAAATATGAAAAAGCTTCAAATTTCTACAAAATGAGTGGCAGCTATTTATGGCACCAGACTCGGAGGTAAAATGTTTATTAAATATTTTGACTGTTGTCCCTTTAGAGAGTATCAAACTTTCTAACAAGCACTACTGCTTTTTGATTGCTCCAGTCTGAGAGCAGATTGTGATGGATATGTTTATACCTTGTTCTACTTGACAAGATCACATTTAGACTTAAATGAATTTAAATGTATTGTCTGAAGTCTTCCTTAAAAAGTTAAAAAAAAAAAAATTGCAGCAACAGTGACTGAATCCTTCAGATTGTTCCTGCTGGTATTGAATGTAAGTGAATATGACTATGAGATTAACTGTTTTTCTTAAGTTATAACTGAGTAACATTTTTTTTAGCTTGGTATACTATGTCTGCAGTGGTATGTGCTGCTTCCCTGAATCTACATCTGGAAAAACTCTCACATTCCCACATCTCCTCCAAGTTCACTACATAAGTGATTAGCTCCAAAGGGGGTTGTTGTTTCTGACAAAACATTGTAGAGTCACTACATCCATAATACTAAAATGATCCTAATTGTGGACAACTTCAGCAGTGGCCAAAATTTCACCCTTCCTTGTCTGTATCATACAAGTGTCACCATTAAACCATTAAAATTAAAACTCCTATTACAGAACATAAAAAAAGGACAATCAAATGTGGCCTATTAAATATCAGATCTCTCTCATCTAAATCTCTGTTAGTGAATGATTTGATAAGTGAACATCACATTGACTTATTGTGTCTTACTGAAACATGGTTACAGCAGGAAGAATATGTCAGTCTAAATGAATCCACTCCACCTAGTCACAGTAACTGTCACATCCCTCGAAACACAGGCCGAGGTGGTGGCGTGGCAGCGATCTTTGACTCAAGCCTATTAATCAACCCTAGACCTAAACATAGTTATAACTCATTTGAAAGTCTCACCCTGAGTCTCTCACACCCAAACAGGAAAACTCAAAAGCCTTTTCTGTTTGTTATTGTATACCGTCCACCTGCTCCTTATTCAGAGTTTTTAAGTGAATTCTCAGACTTTGTCTGATTTAGTGCTTAGTACAGATAAAATAATCATAGTAGGTGACTTTACTATTCATGTAGATGCCGACAATGACAGCCTCAACAATGCATTCTGTTCATTATTAGACTCAGTTGGCTTCTCTCAAACTGTAAATAAACCCACTCACTGTTTTAATCACACTCTTGATCTTGTTCTGACATATGGCATCGAAACTGAACACTTAATAGTTTTTCCCCATAACCCTCTTCTGTCTGACCATTTTCTAATAACTTTTGAATTTCCATTAATGGATTATACTCTATGTGGGAAACAATTCCACTACAGCAGATGTCTATCTGGCAATGCTGTTACCAAGTTTAAGGAAATAATTCCGTCTTTATCTACTTCAGTGCCGTTTGCCAACACAGTGGAAGGAGGCCACCTTAACTTTACTCCCACACAAGTCGATAATCTTGTTGATAGTGCTACAGCCTTCCTGCGTAATACACTTGATACCGTTGCCCCTCTGACAAAGAAGGCAGTGAAATAGAGGAGGCCCCGTGGTACAGCTCGCAGCTCCGCTCCCTAAAGCAGGCATCACAGAATCTGGAAAGGAGGTGGAGCTCCGCTAAGTCAGAAGAGTTTTAGCCTGGAAAGATAATTTGATAACATATAAAAAGCCCTTCATAGTGTCAGAACCGCATTTTATTCATCACTGATTGAGCAAAATAAGAACAACCCCAGGTTTCTTTTCAGCGCTGTAGCCAGGCTAAGAGCCACAGTGCTGTTGAGCTTAACATTCCTTTAGATCTCAGTAGTAATGACTTGATGTGTTCTTTCAAATCACACACAAACCAAGTCTTTAGAACCTCCTTCTTTCTTTCTTTTTTGTTTTGTTTGTTGTGTCCTGATGCTTTTCTTTTCTCTCTCCTCTATCCACTTAACCCAAGATCACGATAGGTCAAGATAGTTTTATTTTTAAGCACATACTTTTAACCGATTCAGTAATATTTATAACAAAAATGATTAAATAGATTTAGTTAATGGTGGCCTGTTAAGGGGTGGCTTTCGTCAAATTGTCATTTATTTGTATTTTTTAAAATTCCATCTCTTATTGTATGGTTAGATATGTAAGTATTATTTATCACAAAACAGACTGAGTCTAGTTCGGCTCCATACCAGACTGAGTGGTAGAATAAACAGACATATAATCCACAGTCATTCGTATAATTTCTCTGGTAGCTGTGATGAAAAGGACATGATGCATGACAGAAACCTACACACTGGATTGATTATTTTTACCCTGGGGGCCCTTGCTCAATTGACTCAGTGTTGAAAACTACCAGGCAAATTTCCAGAGGCTATATTAGTCATCCAGGAGTGACATGCTGCGATTTATGAAGTTTTGTTTTCAGCATCTTAGCTGCACAGAAACTGAGTAATGTTACAGTGAGGGATGAAAACAAAGAGTGCCCAAACTTAGCAGTACATGGCTGCAGGCAGTCAGTACAACATGAAACATGCACAGAAGTGCATGAAAATATTTCATGTTCCCATGGGGTTTGTGTTATAGGTTCCCAACATGCTAAATAGTACTACATTTCTAAGTGTTTCCTAATACTTTTAAAGGGTAGTTCTGATATACTACATCTTAAATTCTAATTACATCAAGTATAATCACAGACAGAGCCACAGTTGCTAGGATCTCTCCCAAAGAACATAACATCTCAGCAACTTGAGGATCACAGATCATTCTGACTGCTCCGCTCTTTGCACTTCTGGTCCTCTGTGTTTACACATGAGATGTTCAGACCCAGTACTGAGGGCTGACCATCTGCGTTATGAATCACTCAGGACCAAATGCATAATCACAAAAGGTGCTGTTATACTGCTTCTGTAGACAGCTGGAGCTAGTCAAATAGAAGCATATTGGTTCTGTCAGATGTGCATGAGAACACTAAAAAATGCTGAAATACACTCCTATAAAAAGCGACCCAGTCATTTGTACTAGCAGGTTATTATGAGTTATAACAGTTACATAATATAGTTTGGTGACGTCCAGCTAGCACAGTAATTATGACAGAAGCAAAGGACCGTTAAGAGATGTAGTACATGGAGCCACAAACTCCACATTAGGAAGAGGGTTGGGGTGGGTGGAACATAAAACACAGGACTTCCCCCAGGAGAGTGATGTTCCAGTGTGTAAGCAACTAGTGTTTGTTCCTAAACTTAACCAAGTAGTTTGTGTGAGTAAACGTAATGAAACCTTGATGGCTTCATAATCACGATGGCATGTTCATTAGAGGTCTGGAGAGCCGGTACTCTTCATCGTAACCGTGTGTTTATGGCTGTTTCCATGACAACAAAGGTCCATAAAGTTTGCTGGTGCAACACATGTTGTCATTTATGCCGGTGGAGTTCTTCCAATTCTGCCTGAAACTGGGAGGGCTCATTTCATAATAAAAACCTAGCTAGAACATGGTTTATGTATATGTAAGAAATGAATAATTTTCTAAAATAAATCTACAGCATTTCCTGTTTCATTGCATGTTGTAATCGATCTGTATGGGTTTGCCACCTTCAACATTGATGGGCCATTCCACACCCATCACCTTGTCTTTACAGTGTATGTGCAGTCCAGACTAGACTGCCAAACTTGGCTGTTGAGCACAGTATTAAATTGAATCACAAATGAAGTGAAAGAAGATTGTAGCAATGCTGATACCATGCTGATGAAATGCTTACCAAAGGCTTCAGGCCAGGGCATGTAGATGCTGCTTTCCTGTTCCAGATACTCTGCAGGAAACCAGGATGGCTGCCTGAGGACACGCTTGAGGTCCGACTGAGCTTCTTTATTGCCCTCCTCAGAAAACACATCTTCCACCAGTGTCAGCAGTGATGCCATCACCCACAATATTGCCTGACAGTATCAAGCAACATATAGTTACTTTATTCAGCAGGCTGGTAAGGGAAGTCATAAGATTCAGAGCTTTATTTTCACTTCATCATAAAAATCATCAAACATCATCAGTCATCAAAAAGGCACACATGGTTGCAGTCATATGCTTTTCAGTGGAGCCCCCAATTTTCAGAGAAACAAAACACATTTCTGTAGAAGCACTAATCAGAAGAAGCGGTGCTTGGTGTATGGCAGTACTGTTTAACAAGCCCTTACTGACTTTTCTTTGGCATGCAAGAGTAGCAGTCAAAAAATAAAAGTCATGCATTCAAAACATTTACTTTAAGTATTCTTATAGTACCAAATGTAAAAGTACAGTGTTTGAATTACAAGGCAGTCGAGGGAGTCTCCCCCAGGAGACACCGGAGCTCCCCTAGAAACAACACAATCCCATACTGTGGGGGTCTCAGAGAAAACCACTAGCATGTCTAATGCTGAAATGAAAGTTATTAAGGATAAGGATAATCTCCTTCATTGACCAAGTATGTTACACACAAGGAATTTGTTTCCGGTACAAAGCAGCCATCTGTGGTGCCACCACAACCAATGGCTCTAACCATCTGGGGTAACGGGGGGGGGTTCAGTGTCTTGCCCAAGGACACTTCGACTGCCGGCACCGAGATTCAAACCTTCAACCTTCTGGTTGGGAGACAACTGCTCTACCCACCGCACCACTGTCACCTCCCGAATGTCACTAATGTCCCAGGCTCATTCTGGAGTCAGTCAATCATCTCTCCAGATGGTTGAAAATGCTGCTGTTTGTTTACTGACAGACACGTAAATATGAGCACATCTCAGCTGGACAGGCTTCCCTTCATTGGCTCCTGGTTCCCCTCAGAACTGAATTTTTGTTTTTAATATTTTAAATGCTGTGGCACCCCAGCACTTCAGCGATCTCATTCAACAGCATGCCCCAGCTAGATTTCTTGGATCTCCGCAAGGTCCCGTCACACGATGGGGCGACAGGACTTTTGCCATCATGTCCCCAAAGCTTTGGGATGATTTGCCTTTTTAATATTAGATTGCGACAGATTTGGCTGTGTTTAAATCTCTCCTTAAGACCTTTGTATTTACTAAGGCATTTGATTCTTAATGGAGTGTGATATTTATTGTTGTTGGCTCTTATTATATTTTATGGTTTACTTTCTGTCTTAAATGCATTTAACTGTCAGGTCCGCTCGACGCGACCTGCCCTCCTTTCTCTCTCTTGTCCTGGGGGATCGGCACCTCAGCTGTGTCGCATTCTGTAATCAGTGACTCGTTGGGTGAAGTGCACAGCTGAGGCACATTCCATTGATTACCTCCCTTTCCTTATTTAAACCACTGGCAGACGCTCCGTTGTCGCCGGAGCATTAAATGTGTGTATTCAGATGTTATGTTAGTTTCAACGCTGACAGTCTTCTGTGCTGTTGATTCTTTAGTTATGTTGATGCCGTGATTTTATATGTCTCTTGATTTCAACGCTGACAGTTCCTGTGCTGTTGATTTCTTGTTTTTTTGTTTACTACTCTGCTTCCCTAACGCCGTTAGCTAATCCACCTGGTTATTGTCTACTCACCTGTCTGTCCTGGTCCTCTGACTCTCCTGGTTCCAATAGTTCATCTGTCTGCTTACCTGCTCGTCTTGGTCTCCTCAGCCATCACTGCCCTACCCTGGTTATGCCCTGTACATATACCCAGTTCCTTTGTTTGTGTCCTCAATAAATCCACCTTTTTCACTAGCACCTGGGTCTGCATCTTGAGTCCTCCCTTCTTGTTCTCCCTCACCTCCTGGTGAGGGGGACTCAACCATAACAGAATGCTCTGGCCAAACATGGACTCAGCGAGCTCAGGTGCTAGTCATCCCTCATCCCCATTCGCCAGCTACAGACTGAAACAGCCCTGGTCTCAGACATCAGAGACGCCACCTCCTCTCCGGTTCCTGTCTCCGAGCGGGTTGGACGGCATCCTCCCGAATGGCTTCAACGCCCCCCCACCCGGTGCCAAGGTCGTCCTCCAGAACTGTCCTTCTTCGCCCCCTAGCCTGACGATGAGGTCATCCTCCAGAACTGCCCTTCTTCGCCCCTGCCTGGTGCTCATGGGTCACCCTAGGTGTCCCTGTGTTTCTTTTGGACTATGTACACGAGTTTTGGGATTTTGGGGTTTTGGGGTTTGGTGGACTACATACACTGTTTTTGGGACCTTTTTTCTTGGATTTGTTACTGCCGGGGTTGTTTTTTTGTTCTGCCCGTTATTGTCTACTCACCTGTCCATCCTGGTCCTCTGACTCTCCTGGTTCCATTTGTTTATCTGTCTGCTTACCTGCTGGTCTTGGTCTCCTCAGCAATAACATATCATAACATTAATTAGCTCTTTTTCTTCATTATGTGAAGCACTTTGGTGATCCAGATTGTGCTGTAAAGTGCTATATAAACACATTTTGACTGGATTCAGTTTGATGTGTGTATAACTCTGCCCTGGTCAGTGCACCCAATTTTATCTTCTGCCAATAACATGCAGTCATGACCAATAGCCAGAGGCTTCATAGTGGACAGTAACTTAATAAGAGGGATGTTCTCTCCCCATGGATCCATGTTTCTCCATAGTATGCAAATCACACTCTCCTTAGCTCCTCCACTCAAAGCCATCCCCTCCATACTAAAGCAGTGACAGAAAACTGCCAAATAATGGAAAAACATCACTGAACTCATATACTGAGCTTCCATAGGAATGGTGTCCCATTCTTTGGCACATTTAATTGTGTATTACGTTATGTGGCTCATAGAATGCTTTATGCATTATTTAGTGTACCTGTCCATAATTATTGTATGTGATGTCAGACTGGCAATTCTTAAAATACTGTATATAATGTTTGATACAAATCCAGTTTGCACAGGACTGATGTGTACTGCCTCAGTATGCCCCAACTCCAAGTCTGGTACTGACAAAACCTTCACCCTCCTCCACCTCTCACCTGACGTGCCATATTTATGGAGGCAAACAGCACCTTAAACAACATTACAAATTCACTGTATGACAAAGTTTAACATGAGTCAGTACAGGTGGTGACTGACTGAGTCCCGTTTTCTCCTTGGGGGTTACCGTAGCTGCATGGACTCACTGGAGCGTGTTACAAACCCAATTACTCAACTCAGTTCTGCTTGACTCAGCTGCAGCTGATAGCGGCTCACGTACAGACTCTCTGCCATCTGCACTACCTGGAATGCTGAAGAGACACTTAAGAGCCTTGGAGATTATCAGATTAGTTTACATACAGGTCAGGTAGCAGAGTTGATGCTTGTTAGTGTATAAGCCTGTGGATATTACCCATGATTCCT